CAATAGCCCTTCATCGACACCTCAATCGTCCCTCGACTTCGCCACAACCGTCTATGCTCGTCTCTACCTCTACAATTTGTTGTTAAATGAGTAGGTATCGGATATTAAAAGAATAGAGTAGGGAAAATCACATTTTGTTGTTAAACCAATATTCACGAATAATTACCGAATGCTAATAAATGCCGTCGAATCGAATTTGAATGGTCATTTAGTATTCGACTTGAATATGATCACGAGTTTGAATATATATGAAAATGGACCGAATATTCGAATTCGAATAATTAGATATTTGGTTCAATTCTGTGGTTTACCACTTAGCAGCCCTACTGTTAACAGTTTTAGTTAAATGCCCAATTGACGACCCGCGAAGGCACGTGCATGGACCGGCAGGTACGAACAAAAAATTTTCAATTGGCTCACGCTTGACGCCAAAGTTATCACTAAATAAATGACAAAAATTAAATGAAATTCCTTAACTAAAGTCTGCAGATTTACAGCTGTTAATTAATGGGAATAACAAAAACGACAACAATTCCCGAATTAATAATAATTAATAGCAGCAGTTGTCTAGTTAAGTTGGATAGAGAAAGACTTCTATCTCCCTCTTCTCCTTTATTCTCCTGTTCTCTACGGCGGTCTTAGATTTTTGCGCAGAAACCCCTCAAAGTATCCAATTTTCAATAATATACAAATAATGATGACAAGGCTGTACTCTTCTAAATTATTGGTTTTACATTACAAATGAATGAAGAGTGGGCTTCATTATGGAGTTACCAAGTTAAAAAAAAAATTAAAGAGGAGTGAGTTCACACAGTCCTTGTGAGTGTAGTTCAAGAAATGCAGCCTAGTTATAAAATCTCATAATATATTCCGCATAAGTCACATCAATCGATTTCTTCAAAAATACAAAAAATAAGAAAAAGAAATGAAATGTTACCTATATATTCTAAAGATCAGCCATGCTTTCAAATTTATTCCAAATGGAGGTGTTTCTTCTTTACCCTCTAGTTTTATCATATTGAGATAAAATACCCAAAAGCTATCTTAATGAATATATTTAGAATATTCCTCATTTTTAGCTAGTTATTTAGCTAAACAGTCTCTTTTTTCAAAAGAAGTAAACAGTCTTTCTTCTACCGCCAAATAAGTTTGAGGACATGATAATAATGCAATATATGGTAGTATTAGGAGCAAATAGCAAATATTTAGATGTAGAGGTTTAACAAACAAATGTGTTTGACTTGGGTATATACGTAAAAACACTAAGAAAATAAATAAATAAGGAATTAATTAATCGTAGTTCGTTTAATGTAACCACAATTAATCGACAGTTCAAAAGAAAAACGACTAGTGTTTCTTTCTTCTCCTTCATTCCCCCCGTTTTCTTCGGTTTTCTCAGAATTTTTTTGCTTATAAACCCCTCAAAAATCTCCAATTTACAACTGCTGTCCGTCGAAGATCACCCCAACCAGTCAATCTCCTATACAACTTTTCCATCGTCTCAAGCTTCAGAGCTCAACTCCGATGAAGCGAAACCCTAGAAAATGGAAGCCCTCTCACTTCCTCATCGCCGTCGCCGGCGTCTACCTCCTCCTCATCTCCTTCAAGTTCCGGCACTTCCTCTCGATCGACGGCGGATTCAGCGGCCTCGATCGCCCCCAGTTCAACTCCTTCTACCACGAAACCCTAGACCGCAAGCTGAGTTCGGATCCGAACCAGGACCCGCCTCCGAAGCCGGTTAAGGAATCTCCGGCGGTCCTACGGCGCATATCGTACGGTCGGATCACCAGCGATGTACTCCGGCGGCGGAATCGGCGGTTCAATTGGTCAGGTAATCTCACTGTGCTTGAATCCATGGTTAAAGATGCTTGGAGTTTAGGCGCGAAGGCGTGGAAAGAGATTGAGAACTTTAAAGGTGAGAACTTGAGCTTTGTGGATACCGAATCTTGCCCGTCGTCGGTTACTATAAATGGAAAGAAGTCGGAATTGGGGTTGGAGGCCGACGAAGTGATGGTGTTGCCTTGTGGACTGGAGGTGGGTTCTTCGATTACAGTGATTGGGATACCTGAGAATGCTCATAAGGAGTATTTGCCGGAGTTGGTTGCGAGAGGAAATGGGGATGGGTCGGTGATGGTGTCACAATTTATGGTGGAGTTACAGGGTTTGAAGGCGGTGGACGGAGAGGACCCGCCGAAGATATTGCATTTCAATCCGAGATTGAAGGGGGATTGGAGTAAGAAACCGGTTATTGAGGTTAACACGTGTTATCGGATGCAATGGGGGAAGTCAATGAGGTGTGATGGGGTTTCCTCCAAAGGCGATGATGATGCAGGTATTATCCTTTGTTGCAGATTTCATATAGTTTAAGCTTTTACTCGTTTCCAAAGTTTAGATTATAGTAGCTAGGTTTAGTATGCTTGGCCAATGACTCAATTAGAATGCATGTTTCGATCTTTGGAAATCTAAGGATGACGTGGTTACCTATGTAGCACGGGTACATCTAACATGACGTTGTACCTATATGACTATATCCAACAAGTACCATACCCTTACTGGTCACGGGCACTTTCTTGGGCACACTTTGGATATATGAATACACATTCTGACATGTTCTCAATTATATAATACATGTCTTAATTTAAAAAACTCGTCGCAGGCTTCTTTGAAATATATTCTATGGTTCACATTCACTTCTTGAAACTCGGACACAGGTCGGGTTTGTTTCATTCCATACCTAGTTCAAAACAATGATTTTAAAATGCCTTCTGGGTGTCGAGTTTTGTAACGAGATATTTTTAAATTTACAATCTAATTAGTAGAAGAAAACAACATAAAGAATTTCAATTCTTGTAACATGTGAATGAAAAACAATATGGATATCATGTAAATTATTAATTTCAATGTAAATATCTATAAATAGAAAGATAGATAGCCGTGTCCCCTACCCTTACCTTTTATGAATTTTTCATGTCCTATACAAGTGTTCATGACACAATTATTAGGTAATTACTAATTAATAATGAGTATAATGATCTTGTTTGCTTTTTCTGGAAATTATTATATTTGTATGAAGACCAATATCAAGAATCAAATTTAAATTTGCAAGATTGCATGACGCTGATACTTGCCTTTTTAACAAATAAATAGTGTTAGCTTGGTTGAGTTCCAGATTCAGATTGTGATGTGGGTCAACTCTAACCAGATCCTTGTCGTTAACTGGATTGTCGTTTTTGCAATTCAAACTCAATACTAATTCTATAAGGTCTAACTTACTCTGCCCCGATGAGCAGATTGGGTTGGTTTGGTTCAGGTTAAGCGCAACTGAGGCGCACATCTACCACTTCAGTAGAAATGATTACTGGCCACATCTTTAGTTGGATTACCTTTTTAGTAACTCAAACCCAATAGTACTTGTAAAAGCTCTAACCTAGTCCGACACAAATCCAATGAGCAGATTGGATTGGTCGCGTTCAGGTCAAGTGCTAACAAGCTGCATGTCTACTACTTGACTAGAAATGGCTAGATGACCCTATGTTTAGTTGAATTGCCTTTTTAGTAACCTAACCCGATACGAATTCTAAAAGGTCTTACTCCTACCTAGAGAGCAGGTTTGTCTGTGTTCAGGTTAAGTACAACCAAGTTGCACATCTGCTACTTGTCTAGATATGGCTGTCCAATTCCACTTTACTTGGAAATACTACAATCTATGAAGTACTAACACTTACATTGTGATCATAAATTGTAGAGTAGTCCAAATCCATACATGGCAGTATGCTTCATTCAAATATGTATTGATTTTTATTGATCCTTCAGACACAAGCTACTACCCAGGAGATTAGCAAAGTGCATAGGAATGAAATCTGCTATTGATATTTAAATATATAATAAGACTTTGCGCTTACTAAGAGTGTACAGATTTTTTTTTTAGTCTGTACTTCTGCTGGAACAATGCTTTTCTTATCTTCATAGTGTTCAGTACCAAGATAAATCGTGACACTTTATTCTACCTCTTTTATCTTCAGGCTAGCATATTTGGCTAAAAAAATACAATTTCAAACTCTTATTTTGGACAGTCGATGGATTCAACAAATGTGAGAAATGGGAACGCAGTGATACTTCTGACTTGAGAGAATCCAAAACAACTTCGTGGCTGAGTCGGTTCATAGGTCGTGCAAAGAAGCCAGAGGTGACGTGGCCTTTTCCTTTTGTAGAGGGCAAGCTGTTTGTCCTGACTCTTCAAGCTGGTATGGAAGGCTATCACATTTATGTTGGAGGTCGTCATATAACTTCATTTCCGTATCGGCCGGTATGTACTTCATGTTCACTAAGTGTTATTTTAAATTATCAGTATCCATGGTTTTCCGAGAATTGAAAATTGAACATAAGTAGTCTGCATGTCTCTAAACTTTGTCATACAGCCATCACTTTACTACTTCCTATCATATTAATTGATTACCAGCACATTCTTCTTCTAGAAAGTCAATTTCTTATATGGATATTGCTGTTCTAGGGATTTATTCTTGAAGATGCAACGGGTTTAGCAATCAAAGGAAATGTCAACATGCATTCGGCATATGCCACTTCTCTACCAAAATCTCATCCCAGTTTTTCAGTTCAGAACGTCCTGGAAATGTCAGAAAAGTGGACATCCCCTCCTCTTCCTCACGCTCCTGTCCATCTCTTCATTGGTATTCTGTCTGCTACCAATCATTTTGCTGAACGCATGGCCATTAGGAAAACCTGGATGCAGTATCCTGATATCAAATCATCATATGTGGTTGCACGGTTCTTTGTAGCATTGGTAAGTTTTAGCTTACAAACAGTTTTCATTTTCTAGCACTAGATTCAAAATTTTAGATCATGGCTTCATTTTACTGTTGTAACACTTGATGCTAAATTCTAAATCTGAAATATGAAAAAGAAATGCCAGTGGTAACTTGAATTTTTTTAATGAGTGTAAGCCTTTCATTCTTTGCTTCTGGTTGAGGATTAATACTCAGTGCCACTAAATAAGGGAATATTTTGTGTGCATTTGGAGGAGTTTTTCATGGCAATAATGTGAATAACTTGTAGAGATGGACATTTTTACCAGGCTCTTACAACTTTCTAGAATTCTACAGCTGTGAAGCTTAGTTCTTAACAGGAAAAGAATGATATGGAGTGAATTCACCAGCAAGTTTATCATATAGTGCCCTTAAATTTATTTCGACTGGTGAGCATGATGTGAGATATATGTTAAGTGCTATATCCTAGACCTCTATTTTTAAGACATTTATCATGAGAAAACGCTGAGTTGTTGCATCTTTTCAGTGATGATCCATAAGCTACACAACAATTTTTGATTGTTGCATCTTATTACATTCATAAGTGTATTGGTACTCACACTATTAGCAAGGTCACAACAGACTCCTTCACGAGGTTATGGAGACTGAGAATCCAGCTTCTATTTTTCATTAGATTCCTAGTAACTGGGAATTATTCTTAAACTTCTTCATTTTATGAGGATCCTTCTATTTTCCATCAGACAGCAATGTTAACTGGGAAACTATCCTTAAATTTCTTCATCTTTTGTTGAAACAGAATTCAAAATAAGGATGCATTATGTGCCTGCACCTTCTATCATTCAGTTACTTGAAAGTTAAATATTAAATTCTGGCAATGATCTGTACAGATTTATTTATGTTGATATACTGATATGCATGTACAGGGTTCAAGAAAGGAAGTAAATGTGCTGCTAAAGAAGGAAGCAGATTATTTTGGAGATATTGTTATTTTACCATTTATTGATCATTATGAGCTCGTGGTTCTTAAAACCATTGCTATTTGTGAGTATGGGGTGAGTGATACACATTTCCTTTTTCTTCTGGTGACTTTTTGTGTTTGTGCTGGCTTCTTTAAGCCTCATATAAGTTTCGTCCATTGAACTTCATCCTGCAGATTCACAACGTTACTGCTGCGTACATTATGAAGTGTGATGACGATAACTTTGTTCGGCTAGATGTTGTACTAAGGGAAATTAATAGAATTGCACGCAAAAAATCTCTTTATATTGGGAATCTTAATCTAATGCATAGACCTCTCAGAAGTGGAAAATGGGCTGTTACATATGAGGTAAGTTCTTAGCATTTTTTGTCGTTTTTCTTTTAGAGCTTTGGGGATTTAGTTAAGTCAGCTTTCCTCTTTTAAGAAATTACTTGGATAGCCTTCATCATTTTGTCACTTATAATAAATTTGGAGACCCAAAATGTCCTCATAGGGGATATCCCTGAGATTTGACTCTGAATCTTCCTTTCTCTGCTCTGCTTTATCATATGGGAAAATCTGTTATGCTCATTTGAGTTCATTGCACCTTACAAGTTTCCTTGAAAAATGCAGGAATGGCCAGAAGAGATTTATCCACCATATGCAAATGGACCAGGCTACATAATCTCAAACGATATCGCAAGTTTTATAGTCTCCAAACATGCAAATCAAAGCTTAAGGGTGAGGATAATGAAGCTTGTATAACCGCTTTACTCCATTCAATTATTTTAGAACATCACATCTCCAAACTTTTACAGCTAACAAGCTAGAACTTTCTTGTAGATATTCAAGATGGAAGATGTAAGCATGGGCATGTGGGTCGAAGAGTTTAATGCTTCTACCAGAGTTCAATATTCACACAGCTGGAAATTCTGTCAATATGGGTGCATTGAGAACTACTACACTGCACATTATCAGTCCCCTAGGCAAATGATGTGCCTGTGGGATAAATTATCGAGGGGACAGGCTCAATGTTGCAACTTTAGATAGCAGGCAAAGGGGTTCTTTTTTTTTTTCATTGAATTCGAGCTGCGGTTGCTGGAGTCGATGCATTTCTGGTGCAATTATCCATTCATTTACCATCAGATGGCTCAGGGCAGCATCTTCTTGCAGCGCATTTTTAGTTATATAGTTCTTCGGAAGTTATATCATTCTTCTTTAGGTTTTTTTTATAGTCTGTACATCGAGGCACACATCACTTGTATTGGTCAAAATGAGCGGAGAACAGGCTATATCCAATACTTTGGCCTATTTATTCAAAAGTACTCTGAATGTTCGCACGTGTGTCTTTGCATTTTAGTCAGAAGACATGCTTTAGTGGTTCCCCATATGTTAAACTAGCCAAAGAAATAGCAGTATCATCCAAAAAATCATGTTACGGTTTTAAATGTTGAAAATAAAGAAAATAAAGCTCAGGAATCAGATAGATGTCAAGAGTTCGCTCCGAGATGCTGAGCGAAATTTGCATTAGGCAAGTTAGAAATAGGTATCCAAGCGAGAAAGTCCTTGGGTCTTCTCGAGCGAGCGGAAATCCCCTTTGGATCCTAAAATAAGACAGGGATGTACTCTTTTAGAAATTTCAAAGACACACCCTCCCCTACGTTCTTTTCTCTCTTTTTCCCCTCCTTTTTTCTTTCTCATTTCTCTATGAACCCATCAACTCTCCTCTCATCTTCAATCTCTCTCATCTCTTTCATACTCTTTCACCCTCAACCTCCCATCTCTTCCAAGATTTACACATAAGACTGACAAGCTTATTGTCTGCTCATTTGATTACCGTAGAACTGTAACAGAACAGAGAAGAGAGAAAGCCAGGGCAAACTGCACAGCATTCACAGACAATGGGATCTCACAAACTTATTGAGTTTTTTTTAAACACAAATACATAAGCTTTAGCTGATTTTACCTATAAAGGAAACTAGAACTCATACAGCTCTAGAAGACAACATTGCTTTTTTGGTATGTAATTTAAAATTTCAATTTATGGGCTGCAATTTGGATGCAGCAATGGAGTCTATAATCCATGAACTAGCTGCCACTTTGGCTCCACAAACATCAGCAAGAGCTTGTGCTTCGACTCGCCTGGTACTAACGCCCGCAGCCCTTCTGTTCTGCTTCCCAGGCATCTCAACACTGTATACTACTAAGGTTTCCAATAATGAAGTATTATTATGAAACAACTTCTCTTGATCCATTGTAAGCGGTTTCCTATGTAAAACTGTTCCCCCCGCGGCAGCGACAAGATCCTGAATGTACCCCTTATATGATGCGGCGAAATCTCCAACAAGATAAAATCGAAAATTATCAAAGAGTTTTGGTTCCTGAATCAAGAAAACATGCACCAAATTCACTGCTCCGAGTAAAAAAATGGCTTCTCTTTGGGCTTTTTGGTACATCTGACCCCTAAAATCAATATGCTTATTTGCAAAGTGCATCCCTACCCAAATCTCAATATTTGCAAACCTACTCCGAAATCATCAATATTGAAAGAAAACAAACCCCCAAATTTGCAGCTACAAACTAGCCTGTCAAAGTTGATGATTTGCTGAGTTGAGGGATATTTTTCTCAAAGTCAATGATTTAAAGAAGTTATGCAAATGCTGACATTTGGGTAGTTTTGCAAATATGGGTATGAATAAAGTAAAAGGCTACCTTATGGATGAGCCTCAATCTTCCTAGTCTAGGACCTCCCCGAATTCCATGGACATCAACTGCAATCTCGTATTTTTCTTCCTCGACAGGTTTCATTGCTTTCAGGCATGCTTTGATCCCTAAAATAAGAACATGTAGGCTAGATGTTAATCCAAGTACACAAAGTTATTTTGTGAAATTGTGGTGTTATGTGAAATTGCACTTACATTCAATGCCTAGTATCCATTTCCCTTCTAGTATGCCCATCAAAAATTTGAGGGTTCTTTTGCACGCACCATTCTCGTCAGTAGATGCAATGACATGAGTGACTGCTGGACTCCAAGCTTTTGAGATGGCTACACCGGTTAACGTCGTGAACTCAGATATTATGTCCTGGTACAAATTTTTAAGGTTAGAGAACCTTCCAGCATTTACATATGTATATATAGAAAGAGAAGCACGGCAAACTACCTTCTCTGTAGCAGTCAGAGCTGAGCAGCAAAGAACCCACTTGCAAGGTGATCCTGAAGGCCATATCCAATTCTGAATCTTATCGTAGTTATTTTTGCGATTGCTAGCTTTTAATTCTCTAAAGATTCATGAGTGGGTTAATCAGTAAGGATATATAAATTAAGTCCTTAGCAAATTAGTTTCTATTCAAATAAATGCTGAGATTTATCTAAACATACATGTTTGCGGTGCGCTTCTTTCTTTTTTGCTCGAGGGTTTTGGAAGATTCACTTGGCAATTTGGATGAGGAATGAAGTGGGCAAAGCATCACAAAATTATCCTGCCATGACAGATCTTGTTAGTAACCAGACACAAGGAAAAAAACATTATGGATGTTTGTTTTTTTGTTGTTTGCTTTTTTTTCAATTTATTATGATTCAATTTTTTGTTGGGTTAATTGCACATATTAACCTGAAGCTTCATGTTTTTAGATAGACCCCCTGGGTGAAACTTTTATGGCTGCTCTACCCTAATTGAAATTCTGGCAGATATTACAGTGAGACGATCTGAGATTAGAAGAGTCACTCAAAGGGTCTATCTGCCAAAATGAAATGACATGAATAGGAAGTTCTAAACAATGATACTATAGTATAGGGGTCTATGTGCAATTAACTATTTTTTGTTTTATGGTCTTATGAGAAAACTTGTAAATGTAATTAACCTACATTATCCCATCGACATTCTCGAATCAATTTAGCACAAGTAAAATGAAAGCTTTTGCGACAGCTTTTCTCATAACACCCAAGAGCAGCTCCCTTGATGCCACAACAGCAGCATTTTATCCTCTTACTTCGTGATAATTCAGCAGCTAGGTTCACAGCCAAATCATCTTCAAAGTATACATCAGGGGCCCTTCAATCAAATAACATCAAAATGTCAGTACTTTAGAGTTTAGACTTAATCAAAATTAGTTTGCTACCAAGAGAACAGATAACTGACCATTCAGTACAGTGTTTGTGAGAATGTATCACATTGACCCCTTCATTGTAATCTACTGCCACTGGTTTGCCATTGAAATAGTGCACCATCTCTCCAGATTCCTGTCAAATAGGTTTAAGAGATAATGTCCATGACATACGCATAGAACTGTACATACTCGGGGGATATTAAGAATAATTATTACCTCTGTGTTGTTGGAATTTTGACAGAAAGCACATACAATCTGAAGATTTCCACATTTCCTCAAGATGTCTCCATTGTTGGAAGATATCTGTTTACCGCTTGATAAGGTCTTCTCTGCCAAACCATTGGACTGATTTCTTTTACCACCATTATTTTCAGGCAAAACAACATGAACTTTGCTATTATTGTTATCCATTGCAAACTTAACAGCTTGGATTTTCCTTTTTCTCTTTCCTTTTGATTCTCCTACTGCCTTATTTTGAATCTCCAGTCTACTTCTATGGCTTCCATTTCCAACAACTTCGTCATTTTCACTATGCTTTGATGGGAAGACTTGATTATTGACCGTCTTTTGATTTTCTTGAATATGGGTATTTGCTTCATCGTTAGCGTTACCAGGAACTTCACCTGGTGTCTTAGTCGTATCATTATCCATTGATAGCTTCATGCGCTTTTTATTGGGTAACGTGGCCTGATTTCTAGTTTTCTTCGTCTTTTCTTGCATATTCAGCTCCACAATTTTCTCAGCTGTATTGCTTTTCAAGACAGGCAGCAATATTTCCATGAAGTCTGCATCCTCATTTTGGATTCTCTCTGTAGATTTGGCATGGACCTCCAGTGGTGCTTCAGCTACATCTGAAATATTCTTGTTTGGGCAAGTTTTAGTGGACTTTTTACCCCTCTTCTTAATTCTTCTTTCACAATTAGGAATTTCTCTCTGTTCTGCATCCTCATCTTTCTTACTTGAATCCTTAGCTTCCTCTGCACTATCAATTAGAATTTCAGCCTCATGCTCAATGTTACTACATTTCTTCGGATGCTTTCCTGTAGTTTTTGCTAGCCTCTTCTTATTTGTAGTGCCGCCTCTCTTTACAAGTAGCGCTCTAGGTTTTTTATCATTAATAGTTTCTTGATCAGTTTTCGAGCATTCCACAGGCTTATCATGGTTAACTTTGCTGTTGAACATCTTTTGAGTTTGTTGCAGACGGTCTTTTTCTTGGAAAGCATCGAGTTTAGTCCTACCTGCCGTCTGTTATGAAAATTATGATATTAGTATTGGTTCAGGTAAAAACACACTTATCATAGTGAAAACTTGTGACAGTAACTTCACCTGTTTCTTCAAAGGAGTTGAGCAGAGCTCAGGAGAGCAAGCTCTCTGAGTCCACTCAAACATTTCGCTATCAAAAGCTTCTTCAGCATTAAATTGACTCTGCAATCACCATTTCAAAATAAAATTAAGAACTTTAAGAATGACATGTACCTTCATAGTGGATGCAAAACTTACTGTAGGAGCCAACTTTATAGGAGATGTATCATCTTCTGAATCTTTGATGTCACTGAAGCAAGGAGCAACATTAGATTGGGATGCATATGCTGTTGGCTGGCCACTTGGTTCCCCAGAGGCCTTGCCATTTTCATCCTCATCATCCTCTCTCAACCAAAAAAAAGGTGAAAGTGAAGTATCTCCTTGTTCGTCCAAAGCTATCATTTTACATTCATTAGGCAACTTAGTAGTCTCTAATTCATTGCCTTTACTTGCTAGTTTAGAGACCTTTATGGGTGATTGTGGTGTCTCAGCGACGGGATATGGTGTCACGTGTATCCGTTTCTTTGCAGGGAAAGAAGGCTTTGCTATTTGACATGAATCAGCTGACATAGCATCAGCCTTTTCCGATTTCTGACTCTTTTTGCCACTTGGTCTCTTCTTCCTTGATCTTCCTTTATGTTCTAATGTAGCCTCTTCTGCATCAGAGTTCTTCTCTATATCACCTATGGGAAGTTAATGGTTAATAGGAAACTGAAGAGCAAGCAGTAGAATGAAAATCCAGAGACCTCAACATTTCATAAAAACGCATCATGTTACTGTCTCAGCCAACAAATTAATCATCATGCAATACTTGGATGCACAAGTGAGCTGAAAGGGAGATGATAAGCTACGCATAAACAATTCGCAAGAAAGAGAGCAGAATAAATCCTGAAATTGATATCCTTTCAACGGCTAGTTCGAAACAACCATTTAAAAAATAATAACTCCAATAAATGAATAGAGTGTTTTTTAGTTGTGATATATCTCCATTTATACCGTGATATAATTGACAGCATTATTACCTGGATTTTTGGTTGAAGGCCCTATTTGGGTGGTTAAAATGTTTACTCCGACTGCAGCCTCCATGCTTTTGAATACAGTCACCAAATTATCCATATGAGGAGCGGCGCGAACCTCTGAAAACAAAGGAATGACTTTTTTTTTAAAAAAAAAAGGATAAAGACACGGGTGCCTAAAAAATACATGATTTCACTCATTTCCTGTCTCTGGATAGACTCTTATTAGAGACTTATTGCTACATACTCACATGACAAACTAAAATATTGGACATAAAATATGAAGTAACTAAGGAGATTTCAAAGGGCCTATTATGCAATGTAACTGCTTCAGTAACAATTAAAATCCCAATAAAACTACTAAATGTTTTAACTGGGTTGCTTCAACACGGTGAAGTAGTCTCACACATAATGAAACCTCTATTACCAGAAATTTCAATTTTTTGAGATACTTTATTAGCATCCCAGTGGTAAAACCAGTACAGACATTCATCAAGGGTTTGCTACTCTTTTGACTTATTTATTTGGGGATTTTTTTTTCCATTTTTGATAAATATAAAAAAAATTGAATAAAGATACCTCTTCGACGAAATTGAGTTTTGCAGACAGGGCAATCCGATGCCGACTTCATCAATTCAGTAATACACGCGCTGGATTAACATTATACCAAGATAAAAAGTTTGCAAAAAAACTAATAATAAATAACAAAATAACTGAAAAAATTAAATAAATAAACAAATAAATGAGGCTCACTTGCAGAAGACGTGATTGCATCCAAGGGAAACTGCCGATTTCAAGAGGCTCAAGCTGCACAAAATCAAGTAGGTACACAAATAAAAAGGAACAAGGTTAATTAACACTCTTTTCAACAAAATTTAAAAAAAATTGCAAAATTGAGGAAATGGGCATCCAAAATTTCAGCTCAAAACTCAGATTGGCAGACATTTATAAAAATTAAGAGAGAGAAAAGTTACCAGATAGGGCATTTGAGCTCTCTTCCCATCTTCTCGAGATGAGAAAGATCCGCCATCATGATTGATCGAAAACAAAGCGACAGAGCAAAGAGAGATTTTTGAACAGGAGATCAATAGAATGAAAGAAGGGCGATTCTTTGTTATCTTTAAAAAGGCGCCATTTTTTCGATTTTGCTGTTTGATTTGAAATTTTGGCGGTAACTCTCCCTCTATTGAGATTTTCTCCTGACTTCTCGAAGTTTGAGGGGTAGAATATGTTAAGTGACCAAAATATCCCTAATGAACAGACACTGGGATTATTTACAGAAAACCGCCTCATGTTACTAAATTTAACTTTATGCGATTTTACTTTTGCATCATAAAAGATCTGTTTATTTTCTTTTGCAGCACAAAAGATCTGTTTACTTTCTCTACTTCGAAAGGGCGTTTGGGAAGGATTATTTTTAGAAGCTCATAAGTCATGTTGTTTATGACTTTTAGCTTTTACAATATAAGATTCTTATAAAATTTATATGGATAGAATAATCATTTACTTGGTCAAATCCAGTCTATCTATATAAGCTTCTAAGCTAGTTTTTTAAAAGTTAGAAAGTACCAACTTTTTTTTGAATGGAATCGTATATGTAAGCTTATTGGTGATTTACTGAACAATTAGATATGTAAAAGTTAGCTTAAAAGCTAGTTTGACAAAAAAAAAAAAGCCTCTCCTAAACACCTGTTGTGTATAAGGTATTCAGAAGTGGAAGAAAATAGTGTAAATTTGGAAATAGAAGAAATATGCAACGTAACCATCTGAAAACTTATCAAAAATTCTTATGAAAAAAAATGTCGAAGAAATGGCATGTATAAAAAAATTAGTAAAATTACTAATTGAATAGAGATAGACAAACATCATCAAAAGCGAGAGTCGCCCCTCCCCATTTGAGCTATTTCGTGATTTTTTCTCTTTCCTATGTTAGCGTAGAGAACTATTTTTGTTCACGTCATTTTTTAAAGTTTAGAGCTAAGGATCTCTCATAAATTGTAAAAGGATTTATAAGTTTTTAACATTAGATTTGAGATTAAACCCAATAAAAGTGCAAGAAAATCCATATCCATCTGCTTGCAGGTAAAGATCACAAAGAACTGGAGCTGTCATATACAAGAACAATTCCATGTACAACTTGTAAGGCTAACCAAGCATTAATCACAAAACATGTAGAGCTAGAAAAAGATCAAAACAAAGAGACAAAAAAGTAGGATGTACTCTTATTGAGCTAATCTAGTTAAATAGAAGTCCATAAATACATTCAGGTTTTCCATAGAACGAAGAAAGAGAACGTCCGGGGGGGGGGGGGGGGGGGGGACTCAGTCAAAAAATTCCCATGTGCTGTAGCTGGAGATCAAATGTTTCCCACTCTCGTTGTTACGATAACAGGTTTTACTTTCGCATTTGATATCTTCAGCGCGCTCCAGAGTTTCAACAATTTTCTGCACTCTCTTAGCCTGCACATTAAAAGTGAATTAAGTGGCGCTATATTTTGTAAATATTAGTTTCTATATTATGAATAAACAGAGGTTTAAACCTTTTCCTAAAAGGAGGGGGGGGGGGCAAGTCGAAATGAGGACCAAGTCTAAATAGGAACAGTTTGCATTCAACATCAGCTCACTCTCCTACTTTTAAGCTTCCAAATATACTTTGCCTCCTCTTTTAGCATTTATTTATTTAGCAAGTAGTAGGAAACCTCTGGTGGCCTTTCTTTCTTTCTTTCTTTTCTTTTGCTTTCTTCCTTTCTTTCTTTCTTTTTTTGTTTGGTGCTGTTGTGTTTTTTTTTTTTTGGTTTGGGGGGGGGGG